TCTGTCTTACAATTTTTATAATTTAAAGTCAGCTGTTTAACAGTATAACGTTAATGTGCAACTAGATGTTTATTTCTCAGTACAGAAGTAACAATCCTTCTTATATTCAGCGAAGAGGACTAATTTCAACGAATTTATTCTCAAGCTGTACATTCGTATATATATATATATATATATATATATATATATATATATATCCTCGCCTGCTTAACTAGTTCACTAGTTACTAGCCGGTCCGAAGCCCGTGTATACAGGGAAGGTTGGGAATAAGGCTAGCAACCCTACCCCGTAAAACAAATCCAACCGATAAAGAAACTTCCAAGCACAAACAAAATATCAAAAATAATAACAAAATTATTCCTCGCTGGAATCGGAGAGGCGAAATGACTCCAGTTGGTGAAAGCCTTCAGGAAGCCAATAGGCCGTTATGTCTTCTCTCTCTCTCGATGAAAGCGAAAGTAAACGTGGGGACATGGAATGTCCGCACGATGTTTGAACCAAGCAAGGCAGCACAGATTGACAAGGAGGTGAAGAGGTATCACATTGAAGTGCTTGGAATATGCGAAAGCAGATGGAATGGGAGAGGGCTGTCCAAACTGTCAACTGGAGACGAGTCAATAATCTACTCCGATATTCTCACCCAGACGACAACCACCAGCACACTGAGTTATGGAGTGGCTATCATGATGTCCCCAACAGCATCGAAGCACTCTCTCATGTAGTGGGAACCAATCCCCTCAACAATAAGGATCATGACAGCAAGGTTCAACTCAAAAGGAAAGAAAGGTCACATTCACACACACACACACACACAAAACACATACCTACAAATAATGCAGAGCAAGAGAAAAAGGAGGAGTTCTACAGACAACTTCAATCAACACTGGACAAGACACCATCTCAGTTGGCAACATCAAAATTCTAATAGGCGACATGAATGCTTAACTCGGAGCGGACAACACACGAAGACAACTAACCATGGGTCGAGAAGCACTCAGTGAGGTGATGAACGAGAATGGAGAATTGTTTGCAGAATTCTGTGCATTCAACCATCTGGTGATTGGAGGTCAGGCACTGTGTTCAAGCACAAGGATATCCACAAATCAGCAACATGAATTCGATTTCACCAGATGGACAGATTACACTAAAAATCAGATCGAATTCATCTCAATGTGAAGAAAGTGGAGACGCAGTCAGCCTACTTGACACAAGATCAAGAAGGGGAGCAGATGTAGGTTCAGACCACTATCTAGTACAAGAAACCCACCTTCGAAATCAAGTTGAAAGCCTTCAAGGAAGTTGGTGATAGACCGCAGTTCAAGTACAACACTCGGAACAAGAACTGAAGGACGAAACTACAAAGGAGATCTTCACGTCAGCCAGCCACCAAGACAAAATGGGAGATATCGAGGAACATCCGTGAAGAAACCTGTGTGGAAGAACACTGGAAGTCTTTGAAAGAGATGTGGAAATAAACCTGCATAACCAAGCGTATTAGGAAGGAAGGGGAAAGAAGACAAGACAAGGAATGGATTCCAATGGATACATGGAAGCCGATAGAGCAGGGAGAGGAGGATGGTGAAACAGAAGATAAACAACAACAAGATGACCCTAGTATAATGTATAAAACACTACACTGGACAAAGAAGTGAAGAAGAGTGCACGCAATGACAAAAGACACTTCTACGAAACACTGGCAAGTGAAGCAGAACAGGCTGCAGGTAAGAGAGACCTGATAACATTGTATCAAATAACCAGGTTACTGTCTGGGAGGGAAGAGATCAACGCAGATGAAACCAATAAAAGATGATGAAGGAAATATAATTACGAAAGAAGAGAAACAAAGGAAACGATGGGCCGACCACTTCAAGTAGCTCTTGAATCGACCACCACCACCTGCACTTCGTCCAGAAATACCACCTGCAGCCGACTCACAGAACTACAAGTGAACATAAATCCTCCAACAAAAGTGGAAGTCCTGAACGCCATAAAGCTACTGGAATGCGGGAAGGCAGCATGACCAGATGGAACCACGTCAGAAACACTGAGAGCAGGCGCAGAGACAACAGCGGACATGCTCACACCACACCACTATTGCAGAAGGTGTGGAAGGAAGGAAGGAAAGGTACCTGCCCATTGATTGGAAGAAGGGCTACCTTGTCAAACTCCAGAAGAAGGGAGATCTCAGTGTTTGAAAGAACTGGCGAGGAATCACGCTCCTGTTCACCCAGTGCAAGCAAAATCCTAAGCCACATCATCTTGGAGAGACTAAAGGATAAACTGGATTCAAAACTACGACCAGAACAGGCTGGCTGGCTGGATTCAGCAAGTACAAATCATGTGTGGACAAATTACAACGCTACGCTTCACATCATCATAGAACACAGTATACAATGGCAGTCAACTCAACTCTAACTCAACTTCACCCACTTTGAGAAGGCCTTTGATAACGTCGACCGAGAGGTAATTTTGAAACTGCTTCAACACTACGGAATACCACAAGCCTTTATCAAACTCATTCAACAACTATATGAAGATGCCACATACCAGCCAAGTAATTCACAATGGGAAGCAGCTCAGTGATGCTTTTGAAGTGAAGACAGGAGTGAAACAAGGTTGCTGTCTACTATCACCCATGATATTCCTGATTGTGGTTGACTGGATCATGCAACAAACAGTGAGGAGCTGTGAGAAGAGGAGGATACGCTCGCTGGACCGTGGAAAAGAACCTAGAAGATTTGGATTTTGCCAATGATGACTTGTGTCTAATGTCACACAAACTTGAAGATCTACAGGCGAAAACTCACAAGTTGACAGAAGAGGCAGGGCAGGGCAGGGCAGGGCAGCGAAAATGGGACTTCAAGTGAATATAGAGAAGACAGAGGTAGAGGTGATGAAGATACCCAACCAACACCTACAACAACAACAACAACAACAACAACAAACTCCAATCACCATCAACGGGAGAAACTTAAAGGAAGTAGCATCCTTCACCTACCAACTAGGCAGCACTGTCTCAACTACAAGCCGCACAGACGAGGATGTCAAAGTCAGAATCAGAAAAGCAATGCAGGTGTTCATTAACCTGAAACCAGTGTGGAGATCTTCTACACTGTACTCAGCATGTGGAACAAGATCCGCATTTCCAACACCAATGTCAGTCAAGTAAGTCAGTGCTTCTGTGTGATGGTTGAGAGACTTGGCATGTTACGAAAGGCATTTCCAACAAACCATAGACATTCATCAACAACTGCCTACACTGGCTGGATACTGAAGATCAGATGGCCAGAATAGTAAGAATAAGCAACAAGGAACTCACTGTGGTGAGCAACTAACCAACTAAGAACCTATCGCTGAACAAATATGCACTGGAAGGAAGTGGAGATGGATTGGGCATACACTGAGAAGGCCGACTGGGGACATCACGCATCGGACCATGCCAGGCCATCGAGTGTAACCGTGATGGGAAGCGACGAGTTGGGTGTCGGTGCCGAGGGTGACATTGAGGAGATGGTGTGAGGAGGAAATGAGAGCTTGTGGGCTGTCGTGGAGCCAGGTTTAAAAGATTTCAGAGAACAGAGTGGAATGGAGACGTGCTAGTGAAGCCCTATGTTCCCCTAGGAACCCAAAGGACTAATAATAATTATATATAATATTTAAAGACTTTACTCCGTGAGGAAGATTTAACTGAAATAATGGGGGGGGGGGGGTTGAAATAATAATAAAGGTGGTGGAAGTAATTGGAACAAGGATTTCAAGGTTGTCTACCGAATCCGCCCAAACACTTAACATTTCCCCCGTGTTCAGCTTCTAAAAACAGCAGAGGTCATGGCTATCCATGAACTGAAGCCTGACGTGTGTATGCAAAAGAAGTATGTACAGTCTTTGTCTCTACCTTGGCCTTAATTTATTTTAGTCTTGGTGCGCTAAGTCCTCTTTTTTCGTTTTTCTCCCCCTTCCCCCTTTTTGTTAGATTAATCTTTGTACTCTTATATCGTCATTATCACTTTGTTTTTTGTATTTACTTGTTTCCGGTGTTATTTCATTTGATCTTCCTAATAATCGCAACTTTTAACAAAACATTTTCCAATATTACCTAATCCTTTGATTGTTTATTAACGTCCCTATCCCTATTTAATCTATATGCACTTTATGAACGTTTTGAAAGTCTTACGTAACCCGTTTTTGTTACCATTCAACTTTTACGTCATCAACTACCAACATTATAATTATCATCACCATCAACCCCCCATTATTTCAGTTAAATCTTCCTCACGGATTATAGTTTTTAAATATCATATATATATACAAATGTACAGCTTGAGAATAAATTCGTTGAAATCAGTCCTCTTCGCTGAATATCTTGTTTTAGATGGTAATAAAGGATAAGGTAATTGAAGAACCTTAAGAAACGTTTTACTTTCGTGTTCCTGATGATATTATCCATCCACAGTATACTAATCCATGAGTTAATGATTTTAAGCTTCCCACAGTTAGTAATGTAGCAGTCTACAGTGTATCTTTTATTAAAATCTTTAAAGAAAGCAGTTAACATATCACTTTATCGATTATTTATATGAAAATATTTGAGACTCAAAGTAATATGTGCGTGTGTATGTTTTTGAGAGTATTTATACACAAGCATAAATTGACAAAATCAATTAATTTTATTGACATATCTATAAATAGTAATATGTTATATATGTGCACATATACATTTTAGATGCATATATCATTTTTAAATTTTACGTGACATTTTATTACTTAAAGGATTAAAACACCAATGAATAAATAGTATCGAATATTACACACATACACACACAGAGTTTCACATCACCAGTTACATTCCATATGAGGAATTGAAATAATCTCAACTTGACTGAATATTTTTACAAATGAGGAATTCAGAACTGATAAACTCATTATACTACTATTAAATTAAACTTTACAAAATCTGGAAAAATTTTCCTATTAAAGATAGTAAATAGATTGAAAGTAAAATGTTACATGGACAGAAATGGAGATTATTTCCTATGGTTAAATTATCAAATTGGAACAATAGTAAACGAATGAAGCATAAAAATACAATAAATCCATCTTTAATAATCAATAATATGTCAACTTTTTATTCAAGAGCTTCAATGAAATTTAAAAACTTTATGGTGGGTAATTTGAAAAAGCCGCCATCAATACAACACTTGATATATTCAATAAAAAATGTGACTCTACAGAATAAACATTTCAAATATTATCAGTATTCAAGTAAAGAATTATTTAAAAGTGAAACTTTCCCCTCCAATTTCAATGAACCAACAACAGATATAAAATGGACAACAGTACCACCTAAAACGAATATCAAAAAAGTAAGAAGAATATGGAACAATTTACAAGATTCACTAACCTTACCATATGCTACTATCTCTGGTATGATTAACAATCGGTATAAAAGGCTAAGAGATAGTCCTAGTTTAATTTATTCAGGAAGTGGTACATTAAAACAAGCAACACGATTTAAAACTATGATACAAAAAATTAGAAGTTTTCCTATTGGAATTAAGTAAGTCCTCAATAAAATTTTGTGCAGTTTGCTTGTTTTCTCGTCTATTTTGTGCTTACTGTGTATATAATATGTGTGCTCTAAAACTTATGAGTAACCAATAGGAAATCTTGGGTTACTCACAATGATAAGTAAAGTTTACTTCCAAGTTGGTATTCATCGTGGACTGACATCAATTAGAGGAACACTGGAAACCTGAGAGCAGCGGACAGCTGTTTCATCCTAGTAAGAGACTCTTCTGCAGTGTGCACCTACAACGATCGAACCCACGACCTTCGGGATCCATGGCCACCACGTTACCATTGAGCCACTGCATCAGAATCGAGTGGTTCATATTTCCAACTTCTGTCAGTTTACGACATAGCGCGACCGCCATCCAATGTCGTGGTTGAGTATTTGTCCTCATGGCAATCAGGTTTGCCCCACTGGTCACGACTTCTCATTGAAACTTCGTGAATCACCTCTGGAAGCTAGTCACCAATGATCACCAATTCAATTGAATTTGAGAGGTTTGTGGAGATAAAGAGATACTTCAAGTTGGACGGGTGGGTTCCGACCCAGTGGTTCAATGGTAATGTGCTGGCCAAGGAACCTGAAGGCCACGGGTTCGACCTCTGGTAAGGTCGTGGGGTGCCCGTTGCTGAAGAGTCTCTTAGCAGGACAAAACAGCTGTCCAATGCTCCCAGGTTTCCACTGTCCCTTCAACTGATATCAGTCTAGGATGAAATATATTCAAAAATTGAGAAGAAAAATTCGTTTTCCTGGAAAAATGATTGATTTTAAAAAAACTGCTCACTTTGAAGAGTGTTGTCATCAATTGACGAATCAGTGCTTCTTCAATACATAGCATTTAATGATGAAATCTACCTTCTTAACTGTTCCTAGTTAATTTGTATACGATGCCAAGCATAGATACCCAATTCTGACTTTTATCCTAAGTGGATGTGGCAAATTTTCAAACTGACCGCGTCCAATATGCAGAGGTTAATAAAGAGGATACGATTCAGAGCTTCACTGAACTATATTGTTGTTGATTTGTAAGATGGTAACCAAAAGGCTCGAGATGGCCAGACTAAAGCATGGCATCAATGTATGAAGTCTTTGACTGTTGATTTGAGCCATGTAACGGGGCGATGCAGACTAGCCGATTGGGATCCGCGGACAAAAAAACCAGTGGTTGGAGACTCTAGGCGATATGGCTCAGAACTGGTGTCAGTGGCGTAGTTGCATACACACATTATCCTCATCTTAATGACAATATACCGAATCTCAACATTTTCTCATTCTTCCTTTCTTTCTTTTAGTACTTTATATTTATTCTGAGTTTTTCTCCTTCATCTTCCACTTCACTGCTTTTTCACTTGATGTACTGATATGAGCTGTGGCAACGCGGATTTTTACGCAGTAATGCCTGGTCCCATGTTGATTTGGATGGATGAATGATGGTGCTGTTTAACAATCCGTAATGAAAAACAACATCGCTTTTGAATTGTTTAGTGACTTCAGAGACGTGGCAACTGTTCCAAAGCTGATTGATAAGACTCCCTCTAACAAGATTTTCTGTACTCAATACACAAGCTAAATGAGGTATGGTTGAATTTTTGTATGTAGTTTTGTATGCATAAAGTTTAATGTATTTGCTTCTTGTCTTCCCAAACGAAAGACATGGAGAGAGGTGTGGATTTAGATGGCGCTTGTCATCAGATGAAATATTTTTAGTCAGCTGTTTACAAGAATTCAGATGCTTATCCATAACTGCACTTATCGTCACAGTTTGTTGTGTACCACTCGCTCCACTAACAGCCTTGAAGTCCCTATGGTCTTTTCTCCAGAGTCTAGGAAAGAATAAGAGGGGAACAATAAGTAAGTATAGGCATAACACAGGAATCAATGAAACGTAAGAGTAGACGTTGAATTATGCCAGATAGTCTGAGTTTTCTTGTAAAATAATTCAAGTTAAGGATTTTCCTGGAAATCATTAAGATGCGGGAGGACCAAGAAAGATCAGAAGAAAAGCAGAAGCCAAGACAGATCACACTTGATTTATTCTTTACAACAAAGCCATCTATAAAACAAGAGTCATGGAGCTGAAATAATTTACATAGGTCATGTTCATATCTCAACTCAAAATTAACCATCTGACATTTGGAGAGATTTAGTGTGACACCATTTAGGGAAAACAAGTAACCAATCTCGTTTAAAAAGTTATTAAATTGAGAACAATCTAAAGAGGAGATGATCGACATGGATGCTGTCAGGTCACCACAGTACTCAACAAAATTAGCTTTGGCTCAGCTCGGTAAATCATGCAGAAAGAAAGAGAAAAGGGAAGGAGAAAAACAGCAGTTTGAGGCATATTGGCTTCTCTTCCCTCTATGTAGAGTTTACTGTGTTCTCTTAGAAACATAATCAAGCCAGTTTGTAATTCAGGAATCAATGTGAGTTCTTGTAAGCTTGTTCAATAAGAGGGGTCAATGGATAGAATCAAAGGCAGATCCAACATACTTACCACCTTTGTCTAGACTGGTAATAATATTACGATGTAAAACAACTGCACTATCTAAGGTACTCCCTCTGAATTTGTAGACAAATTTATTTGAATCTATGAAAGCCTCTAAAGAAGGTGTGAAGCAAATGAAGTAACAGTTTTTCCACCGTTTTTAGGAATAGTTAGGTGATGCGATCTGTTAGAATTTCACTTTTACTCCAGAATACATAGTCTTAGGTAAGGGAAATATTTTAATTTCCTTCCAGGTGATTGGTACTTCATTTCTTGCAAAAGATTCATTAAAATACTTGTCACTGGATGGCATAGAATATCAGCACAGCAGACATGCTCACACCACTATTGCAGAAGGTGTGGAAGGAAGAGAAGGTACCTGGCGATTGGAAGAAGGGCTACCTTGTCAAACTCCAGAAGAAGGGAGATCTCAGTGTTTGCAAGAACTGGCGAGGAATCACGTTCCTGTCCACTCCAAGCAAAATATTAAGCCACATCATCTTAGAGAGACTAAAGGATAAAATGGATTCAAAACTACGACCCGAACAGGCTGGCTGGCTGGATTCAGCAAGTACAAATCATGTGCGGACCAAATTGCAACGCTTCACTACGCATCATCATAGAACACAGTATAGAATGACATTCCACTCTACACCTCACCTCAACTTCATCGACTTCAAAAAGCCTTTGACAGTGTCGACCATCAAGTAATTTGGAAACTGCTTCAACACTACGGAATACCACAAGCCTTTATCAAACTCATTCAACAACTATATGAAGATGCCACATACCAGCCAAGTAATTCACAATGGGAAGCAGCTCAGTGATGCTTTTGAAGTGAAGACAGGAGTGAAACAAGGTTGCTGTCTACTATCACCCATGATATTCCTGATTGTGGTTGACTGGATCATGCAACAGGCAGTGAGGAGCTGTGAGAAGAGGAGGATACGCTCGCTGGACCGTGGAAAAGAACCTAGAAGATTTGGATTTCGCCAATGATGACCTGTGCCTGATGTCACATAAACCTGAAGATCTACAGGCAAAAACTAACAAGTTGATAGAAGAGGCAGGGCAAGGCAGCAAAGACGGGACTTCAAGTGAATATAGAGAAGACAGAGGTAGAGGTGATGAAGATACCTCACCACCAACAACAACAACAAACTCCACTCACCATCAACGGGAGAAACTTAAAGGAAGTAACCTCCTTCACCTATCTAAAAAGCACTGTTTCAACTACAGGCGGGACAGACGAGGATGTCAAAGTCAGAATCAGAAAAGCAATGCAGGTGTTCATCAACCTGAAATCAGTGTGGAGATCTTCTGCACTCAGCATGCGGAACAAGATACGGATTTTCAACACCAATGTCAGTCAAGTAAGTCAGTGCTTCTGTGTGATGGTTAAGAGACTTGGCGTGTTACGAAAGGCATTTCCAATAGACTACAGACATTCATCAACAACTGCCTACACTGGCTGGATACTGAAGATCAGATGGATTGACAGAAAGAATAAGCAACAAGGAACTCTGGAAACGAACCAACCAAGAACCTATCGCTCAACATATATGTAGAAGGAAGTGGAGATTGGTTGGGCATGCACTGAGAAGGCCGACTGAGGACATCACGCGTCAGGCCAGTTGCTCGAGTGGAATCCCCATGGGAAGCGACGAGATGGACGTCCAAGGGTGACATGGAGGAGGTCGTGCGAGGAGGAAATGAGAGGTTGTGGGCTGTCATGGAGGTAGGTTCAAAAGATCGCAGAGAACAAAAGTCACTGGAGACGTGCTACTGAAGCCCTATGTTCCACTAGGAACCCAAGGGACTAATAATAATAATAATAATCAGCACATTTCATGAAAAGAATACATGATATGTTATCTTGGTCGAAATTTTGCTAAGGTTTTAATAATTTTAGACATTTGAGTACATTTGTTCCATTGAGTTGAGGAAAACTGTTTCCTGTTATGCATAAAGAATTAGATAAGATAACATTAGCCGGTTCATATATAAATGACTCGTTTAATGTGTACACGTTTTCACAGGACTCATTTCTAAGTTGTCTTTTGTCAATATAATGTTTTAAGTGTCTCCCTATACTAAAAAGATTTTTACATGACATAAACTGGTTACGCATTACATTTAAATGTTTATTTTAGAACTAATCAGGCAGTTATGTCCAACAAAATTAACTTCATACTTGGTGGAAACTGACGTATCATGCTCTGTCGTTTCCTATGACACTGTACATGATATTTAATCATAATCAAAGTCTCTATGGAATCAATCAATTTCTCATAATTTTCTAAGCTGATTAGATTAAAAGTGTTCACGTTAAACAAAATCAGTATGATACTCCTAAATAGAATCATAAGTGAAAAAATTCAAGTATAAATGTTTCCATTGATTATCAATAAGTACTAGTATAACTCATTATATAGGATGTATTTTTACTTGTGTAATCCCGGCGTAGTATATTAGAACAAATAACAAAATAAACAGATAT